AAACTTGAATAATAAAGTTGATTAATAATTAATTAAATGATGGTCTAATTAAAGAAAGAAAAATTACGGTAATGTTGTTAGAAAATTATATGCACAGCGAAAGTATATCAAAATCTTTCTGCTTACATGAATAATAGATAACCAATAATCGTTTATGCTAGAACATATAAACTTGCTAAAAATTAATTCGATAAATACCTCTTGAAGAGTGAGCAGATACCTTCAAGCAAATCCACAAGATAGACAACAACCATGATCTTCTACAGTGATCCCAAGTTCACATCCGAACTCTCTCAATACTTGGGTGGGCAAGTATCGATAGAAAACTAATCAATCTTTCTAGGGTTAGAAGAATCCCTAATTATAGAGATTTCTTCCCAATTCAAAGAGGAGAACAAAACACAGTCTATTTTCTTCAACCAGAAAAATACGCGACTGTTTTCTTTTTAAAAGAAAACTCGCGCTAGTCTCCTCTTTTCCCCTTATAATTAGGATTCTGAGTTCTAGTTAAATATGGGCACTGTAGGGACCACATAATTAATTACTGAGGCTTCCTATTATGGAAATAATTCCAAATAATTAATTTGAATTTATTTTTACCATAATAAATTACAAATCATTCCACTAGAAATTCGTAATTGCACTCCTCTATTTATATTTCGAAATTCCCATTAAACACTTATGTAATTCCCCATGTTAAGATTACAGATACTAATCAATAAGTTAAATTACTGACGATTTTAACTTAATGATTAATTTCCTTTAGAGCACTACTTAACTTATTTCATGTGTCGAAATGATATATCCACTTGCAAGGTTTGACACAATGAAAACTTATAAGTTTCTCAAAAAGGCATATCAATCAATCTCTATAACGAGACATGAATTTCATCAACTAACTTATTATTTCACCAATATATATTATTATCATCCAATCTACCAGACATATTGACCCATCTCAGAATCTCACCTTTTAATAAATCAAAACGATAATTAATATATACAAATCATAATAGTTATATCAGGATTAAGAATATAAGTACATTTAATAGTTTAGAGAATATGTTTTTGTCAGCCAGTCTAAAACAACTATCTCTCCTCGGTCCCGTTCAATACATACAAAATGCACTAGCACAAAAAGTTGGAACTATGTCATTCCCATAATCAAGATAAATTACATATAATCTTGTGCTACAATCGTACCGATGACATGTCCAATTTCTATCCTAGACTGTGAACAAAATTTTTTATACTTATAAGAACCGATGATTTAATCCTTTGTGTATAAGCTAAAATTCTACACACTAAATCATCTACTATATAAGTAAACAGACACCATAAATGAATAAACGAATATATGATCTATTAAATTGAGCAAATATTTATTCTATTATAAATATTTTTTCTTAACATATGGTTAATAGTATATATCCCAACAATCTCCCACTTAGACTTTTAACCATCACAATTGTTATAATGTACTATATCTAAATGCATGGTTAATAGTATATACCCTAACAATCTCCCACTTAGATATTTAATCTTGAAAATTGTTAGAATACTATGTCTAAGCACATGATTAATAATATATACCCTAACAAATGTATCAATGAAGAAGAAACCAATCAATTTTCTATAATTACTATAATTAATTGAAGGAATAATTAAATAGCTCATCATTTATTTAACGTAATATTTTAAATCCTAAAATAAAGAGAAAATTCTGAAAATTCAGAGAAAAAAGATAATTCAAAATCCTGATCAAAGAAGTATGCCACATCAGCGGTTTCATATCCTCCTTTATATATATATATATATATATATATATATATATATATAGATTTCAAGATAAGTTATTTTGCAATTTTATCCTAATCAAATATGAATAAACTTATCTAAAACTAGTTTCAAAATCAATTATTCCTTTTTCCTCATATCAAATAAACCCTCGTAGTTCCAATTTTAAACTAAGATTTCGATATGCAAACTGAGACAAAAAGTTAAATGCATTACCTCATACACCAACTCTCACTATTATTTTTAAAATTACTAATACTAGAAGTATATTTGATTACAATTTGGTGCTCATTTGATATGAGCGATAAGGGAAAACTAATTTTAAAATTAATTTTATGATGAATTTATTTCATACGTATTTAATTAGAATAAATTACAGAATAACTTATTTTGAAATTATTAGTGTTTTTTTCATTTTACATTAAAAATAAGATAATTGATATCAAGATAGTTAATATTGAAGTAACTTATCTCAACACCAAATGAGTCCTTACAACTTTCAAGAATTCAATTACTTATCTAAATTCTCTTCCACAACAAAATATGACAAGTCAAATCAATATGATATATAATCCCAGCTTGATCACTAAAATATTATAATTAGGACATATGATGTGATTGATTGTATTTTATTTGGCCACCAACTCCCCAATCATATGATATATTACTCCTAATCGATATGGTACATACAGATTAATTTTTGTTTTATGCTAAGTGCTTAGTTAATCGTATCTCTAACATTGGGAAAAAAATTAATATACATGACAAATTGTTTTTTGTTTTATGTAAGTGAACTCTAACATTGCAAAAAAATTAAAACTTGCAAGGGAAGTTCTTTCTTTTTCTTTTTGCTACCCTAATTTCATGCATTTTAAAATTATTATATTTTAATAAATAAAAGAATCAATACTGAACTAAGTTTAAATTAGACAATTGTTTCAAGTAGGGGGTGGGAAATCGGTTCTTCGATTCGATTTTATCAAACTTTGGTTCAAATCATTAGTTCTCGATTTTAGAAAAGTGTGTACCGTATACCAAATCAAACTAATTTAGTTCGGTGTTTTTAAATTGATTTTTCGATTGAATAAAAATAAAATGAGGACAAAATCAAAGTATAAGATACTTGAAATACAAAAGTACATTAATGAATGATGTGTCTCGTCATAGAGTACTTATTGTGCTAACTAAAAGACTATATTTATCTTTGCCAAGAGTATTGTGTCTCTAACTACTTCTCGAGGAAAACAAGGACGAAGACGGGTTCCTTACATAATGTACATTGATAAAAATATGTTTTGGTTCCACTTGGAAACTAATATTTGAAGTTAACTATTGAATTGCACATTTATTGCTACTTTGATTTGTTCACGAGTGATTTAATTGTTAGTTGACTTTTTATTTTTCGTTAAGAGAATGCCCATAAATATATATATATATATATAAATTTTTTATTTTCTTTTTGAATTAAAGTTTGGTTCTTCAGTGCACCGAAGCTCTGAGACCCTTATACCGAACCGAAGAACCAAACTTTTGAAAAAATAACACCAACATGGAATCGAAAAATCGAAGAACCAAAACTGAAGAACCAAATTAGTTCGATTTGGTTTGGTTTTTCGATTTTCTGGTGTTTATGTTCACCCCTACTAAGTAGTTCTCTTTTCCTTACCGAATTAAAGAAATGTACTATGAGTCTATGGGTATTAAAGTCGTCAAAATGGGCTTAGCCCATGGAGCCGGTCCAATCCAATCCGTTATTGGGTAGGGTTGAGATAGAATTTTTCAAACTCATTTAAAACTAGGGCTTATAAGTCCGGCCCATGTAAGCCCTTGACCCTTGAGGATTGATAAGGGTTGGGGTCAGTCCATGGGTCAACACTATTTATTTAAGGGTAACTTACAGAAATCTCACTAGTGTATGAGGTAATTACTGAGAATGCACGCTATGTTGTAATATTACGAATCTTACCAGATTTTTATCCGTCTAGATACATGTATCTCGGATACATAGACTCAAAATTAGGTGTAATTTGTTTAAGATACACTCTATCCAAGTGAATTCGCATGTAGCTAGGATACTTAGACAAATTCCACATCCTCGCCTCCCTCTCATCTCGCTCGTCAGTCTCTTATCTCGCTCATGTATTTAGGATGCATCACACCAGATACATGTATCTCGCATATCTAGTATCATACATATATGTTAATCACACTAGATTTTTTGCTAGTGTTATTGAAACAACATCATTGTTTGTCATATTTAATTGAAAATCTTCTCATTTTCTTGATGTTATAGAATTTTAAGTTTGAAAAAAAAGCTAGCCCACCCCACCCCATGGCCCTTCCAAAGTTGGGTGAGCATTTTTAGGCCCATCCAAATGAAAGGTCGGTCCACCTTAGCCCATCAAATTCCTTGACCCGCAAGACTTGGGTTGAGTGGGACTGAACTGACTCTTTTAGAGAACTCTAATAAGTATGACGAGATACACTTTTAAAATCGTAATTTACACGAAATTAAGCTTCACCTTTAACTACTAAAAGGATTACCAAGTGACTAAAGATAAAATTCTAAGGAAGTCGAGTGTGTATATTTGAATACGATGCCCTAAAGCTATTATCAAATTTCATCTTAAATCAAGCTATATAATTACTATACTTATTCGGGTTGTCACCTTACCAACTTATTTAATTGGATTCTACACAACATGAATCTTATTAAATTTTGAATATCGAGTAATTATACATACATATATATAAATAAAAAATCTATTCATTGGGCATGTGATGCATTTTTCAAGGCCTAGAATTAGTACAGAGTAGAGACCAATGAAAATGGATATTGAAATGATTGTTCAAACCCACTCTATTTCTATGTTTTTAAAATTACAGATCAGACACAACCCTTTTCTGTTTCTATAAACTCTGGTCCACATAAATATATTGCCTATGCTATTACTTTCTCTGTTCCAATTTATGTGACTTACTTTTATTTTTAGTCTATTTAAAAAAGAATGACACATTTCTATATTAAATAGCAATTTAATTATAAAATATCCATTTTACCCTTAATAAAATAATTTATCGCCACACAAATTTATATAATTTATTTTGGATCACAAATCTTTCTTAAATTTTGTGTCGAATTAAACTATTTCACATAAAATGTTATGTGAGACAGAGGAAGTACAATAATCTTCAACCAAGAAACCCCTGCAACTTGGAAATGATTGAGTAGCTCTATAAAGATAGAGATCTATTACCCAAAAAAACATCAAAAATAAAAACAAAAAAAACATAGCCCCTTATCATTATTGAGTTTCGCCATCTTCTTCAAGACCTTTAAAGTTCAAATTTTTCAAGGTATTTTGCACTCTCTCTCTCTGTTTTTTTGTGTGTTGAAGTTTTAATTTTGATTTGTTTTCTGTTTGAATCTTTATGGGGTTTAAGTGGTCATTAATGTGATTTGGTTCTTTATAACTTTTCTGGGGTTGCTTTTCTTCTTTTGGATTTTGAGGTTTGTAGTACACTTTTTGCTTCTGGGGTGGAAAAAAATTCAATCTTCATGGTCTATTTGGTATTTCAATACTTTTTTTTGTTTGTTTAAGTTGGGTGTTTTAAGTGGATTTCTTGTATTGTTTAGTGCTTAATTTTGTGGAGGGGTTGAACTAAGGTATAGTTTCTAGTTCTGTTTTTATAGATTTTCTTGTTCTTTATGCAATTATATCTTAATGCTGTGATATGAATTAGCCTTTGATAAGTGAATCTTTTTTGTTTTTCTTTGTTGAAAAAAGGGAATCTTTTTGTCTTGTGGTGTAGTTTTTGTGTTTTGTTTAGCTGGTTAAGATGGAGTGGTTCTACTAGTATACCTGTTTCTCTTCTTATTTGTGGGAGGTTCAAATTTGCCCATGTACTATTTGTAATAACTCGATATTGCGAATAGTTCATTCATGTCTTTGTTGTTAGCAAATCGTCTCGTATTTATCAATTCACATTCATGGAGCTCCAACGTGATTAGGGGTGGACTCCATGTGTTGAAATTATTCTAGGAAAAGAGGTCCAAGTTACTCCTCAAGTTCTGTCTATGATTGAGGAGTTCTATTAGGGGTCAAGGGCGATAGTGAGACTTCTTTCTAACAAAGGGGCAACACTAGACCAAAGTATAACGGATGGTAAAATTGAACAATTTCCAAGAGGATTGGGACAAATTTGACCCTTACTCTTTTTTAACTTCTTGTTTTAAATGTAATTCGTAGTGTAGTCGGATAAAAGTTCATTCTTGATATTCATTTATGTACTTTACACATAGAGTTTGTCCTTCAGCCATCTGAATTTATGTTTCGAGACTTGTTGTTTCTGTATTAACCACACGGAGATTCACTACTTTAATGTTGTTCTGCTGTTTTAGAAGTATTTTGATAATCCAGTGGGTTTATTCTGTTATGTTCCTAGTATCTCGAGCTTTGCCTCTATTTGGCCTAGTATCCCTACCATTTTCTTTCTGATGATGGTATTTTGTGCACAGAATGGGAACTTCTGTTGAAACCACTTATGGAGAATACACATATGAAAACCTTGAGAGGGAGCCCTACTGGCCTTCAGAGAAGCTTCGGGTCTCTATTACAGGTGCTGGTGGATTTATTGCCTCACACATTGCAAGGCGACTGAAGACCGAGGGGCATTACATTATTGCTTCTGACTGGAAGAAGAATGAGCACATGTCTGAGGACATGTTTTGTAATGAGTTCCATCTTGTTGATCTCAGGGTTATGGATAACTGTTTGAAAGTCACAAAAGGAGTTGATCATGTGTTCAATCTCGCTGCCGATATGGGAGGTATGGGCTTCATTCAGTCGAACCACTCGGTGATCATGTATAACAACACTATGATCAGCTTTAACATGATGGAGGCTTCAAGAATAAATAGTGTTAAGAGGTTAGCCATCTCTCCTGCTTTCTTGGGGAGTTTTGTTTGTGTTCAGTGATATACTAGTGTTTTAATGCAAAAGGGCAATTGGTTTTTGTTAGGCATTTTAATTTTATTTTTTAAGATGAAAGGGTTATATGAACTTATGGATATTTCACTTGCAAAATTATGTATGGCTAACCCTTGTTTGCCATTTATTCATTCTAAAACGATGAAGGACTTACCTGGGAAAGGTGGGAGATAATGTTGCCGTCTAAATTCAGTGCTTTAAAAATCTCCTTCGCATTGCACTGCCCCAAGTGACCTGAGAGCAGAAGAAAACAATAATATTTATACACTTACAAATTGAAAAAGTTGTTCATAATCTTGGGTGTAGGTTACTACTGCAATTTCCTTGTAGATGGTTGAGTCTACTGATATCAATTTGTTATGCAAGACCTCATGTGCAGAAAGATGACAAAGTTGTTTCTATTTGTCGCACCCCTTTCCTTCTGTGGGTTCTATCACTTCCTTCTGATATTACTGCCAATTTTTGTACGTCCGTAAACCTTTTCTAATATATAGTAAAATAAAGCAAAATGCTATAAAAAGTTATCTAGGAGCATTACAATCTACAACCATGGTCCTTTATGAGGCAAAGCAAGACGTTGGGGAGACAGGATGTCACCCCGTGGTCTCAAGGTTTTGGGACTTGCAGAATAGACTGAAAACTCTGGCTGACAAGCATAATTTTCTTTTCGTTGATTTCTCTAGCTTTTGATCTCGTAATATAATGTATCAAGTATATTTATTGCATCATGAATGCCTCCATAGGCCTCATTTCTTCCTTGTTGCTAATTCTGATATCCCGTATTCATCCCCTTGGTTAAGTTAGAGTAGCTAAGAGATAGTACAGTTTCCAGAGATTGACCTTTCAAATGTTGGTTACAGGTTCTTTTATGCATCCAGTGCTTGCATCTACCCTGAATTTAAGCAGTTGGAAACTAACGTGAGCTTAAAGGAGTCTGATGCTTGGCCTGCAGAGGTTTGTACCTTAAATCAATAAGCTTTAGCTAATTTTGGAATTTGACAATCTGCAGCATTGATGACGGTTTTTATTTTTATTTTAGCCTCAAGATGCTTATGGCTTAGAAAAGCTAGCAACAGAGGAGTTGTGTAAGCACTACAACAAGGACTTTGGAATTGAATGTCGCATTGGCCGTTTCCATAACATTTATGGTCCATTTGGAACATGGAAAGGTAATTCCCCTCAAGCAAATTTCATGTTATTACATTGTCATTTTTTTTTTTTCATGAAGTGATCAACCTTTTCTTTAAAACTATAGGCGGACGTGAGAAAGCACCAGCAGCTTTTTGTAGAAAAGCCCTCACTTCCACTGACAAATTCGAGATGTGGGGAGATGGAAAGCAAACTCGATCTTTCACCTTCATTGATGAGTGTGTTGAAGGTGTTCTGAGGTATGTGGAACTCTAAATAAGATTTCTCGACTGGAATTTTGATTGAGAATACTGTCACTCAAATATTTATCTATATTGATTTGAGCATCCCATAATTCTACGCTTGGAGACGCCTCCTTCCCTAGAAAAAACCCAGACCAAGAAAGAAAAATGAACTAGATAAAAGGTTTTTTCAAGCAACGCACCTCTGATGGGAGGTATGTATATACAATGCGAATGACCACCTACTAAATTGAATCCTCCCGAGTCCTGTAAACCAAAATTGAATTTATCAAGAAGAGAGGACAGGAAAGAATTTGAGAGCCTCCTTAGTTTGTATGTGAGCTTGTGTGGGGCTTGGTCCTGTGACACCTCAGAGATCAGGGCAAAAAATGCAAAAGAGAGAGATTTAGCCATGGTTTTGATCAACAATCTCGGGTTTTAAAGTAAGAAATTATTCTGACTGACCTCTTGACCCCCATGTCTCACCAGAAAGAAATTTAGTAGGAAACAAAAAGGACCTTCAGAACATCGTTAGTCCTAATTGCTGATGTTTTATCAACTGGAACTAGTCAAACTTTGTTTTGGAGATGCAGCACTTCCACTGCTCAAACAAATTTATTCCTATTTAGGTTAACAAAATCAGACTTTAGAGAGCCTGTGAACATCGGAAGTGATGAGATGGTAAGCATGAATGAGATGGCAGAGATAGTACTCAGCTTTGATGGCAAGAACCTTCCAATCCATCACATCCCGGGACCAGAGGGTGTGCGTGGTCGAAACTCTGACAACACTCTCATCAAGGAAAAGCTTGGCTGGGCTCCTAATATGAAGTTGAAGGTATCAACTTCTAGATCATGTGATCATCCTTCTGGTGTTTGTTATTGTATTTTAGTGATGCACTTCTAATGTCTGTGTTCCTAATGATTTAGGATGGGTTGAGAATTACATATTTCTGGATCAAGGAACAAATTGAGAAAGAAAAGGTGAAGGGTGCCGATGTGTCCGCTTATGGATCATCCAAAGTTGTGGGAACACAAGCTCCAGTTGAATTGGGTTCCCTCCGTGCTGCCGATGGCAAAGAGTGAAGTAGATGAAGCCAAGTGATTATCATTCGGTATGCACAATGGCCATCTGTTAGTTCCACCATGTTTTGTTCGCGTGGAATGTTTACTTATTGATATATCTATATTACGCGCTAAAGCAGTTTTTTTTTTCCCCACATCCCCACATCCCCACATCCCCTCATTGCACCTACCAAATAATACTCAGAGATGTGGTAGTCCAGTAATGCTTGCATTTTGTGATTTCTTTTTGCTACCTCAATGCATTTGTGGTATTTTCTGAGTTTGTATGAGACATATCCATTTGCTATCAATCTATCATTTTCTTGCTCCTTGACTCTGACTCTGTAACATTACACTGTCTTTGTTGCACCTGTTAGCAGTCAATGAATTGGATTAACCCATGGGATATCAGTGTTCAAATCGTGATGACAACAAAATATCCTAGGTGACTTCTTCCCGTCTGCCTAAAACTGCATCGGTAGAGCTACCTAGTAGTTGTAATAGTGGGAGGTAGTAGTAAGTACCTGATGGAATAGTCGAGGTCACACAAACTGATTCAGCTTTGTGAAGCAACTCTGGACATTGAAACAATAATATTTATACATCATCTCTACACGCGAATACATTAGATATATACTATTGATACATTATATATACATATCAATACATTACATATACATATGGTCGTTTTATTGAAAATAATTTTTGTTGTGGGGTATATATAATATTAATTTTGGGTCATTCTTTAGGTAAATGAAAACTTGACTATATTTGGTGCAAATAAAACGACTGTATTGTATATTTATGAAAATTACTTAAAAAATATTTGAAGTCATGCGAGCATTTTTAACTTCAGTCACTTATATTTGAATTGTCTTCAAAGTGGATAAATTTGTAAAAAGTAATATTTAATTAAAAGAGAGATAAGTTAAATGGTGATCCAAAAATAGGTATATGACACATAGATCCAAACTTTGGTTGGTTGATTAATCATTTATGTCAATTTAAACGTTATTTTAAAGCTTGTACAAACAATTAAAGAGACTAGACGTATGGATAACTATAACCATTTTGAGATGGGTATTAGTGACAAGTTGTTTTCCTATCCACTATTTCTACCTAATTATGATATAATTTTATTCCCAATATATGTTTTATTGTCCATGTATATCAATGCACTTCATCTTAGGATTCTATTTGCATAAGTATACCATGAATGATATTTTGCTCCTTTTAGACAAAAACAATTAGATAGATTTCTTGTTTTTATATAGAAAACAAAAAAAGGGGTAAAGTTTTGGAGTTTGGATATAGTTTCTTGGTCAATTTTGTTTGGTATGGTCTAAATTCTAATAATACGCATGACGGAGGGCAAGCATGTAAAGAAGTGGTGCATTATATTTAGGCGAATTTCACATCTGAAATAGAAAAGAAAATAGGGACCTTATAAAAAATGAGTTCATAATCAATTATCGGGACGTTTTTTTTTTTATTAGATACAAATTTCTGCACGTTTAAGCCCAAAACAGACAATATTTGGATCAAGACCATTATAAATGGAATTAGAGCAGGATTATGTGATGTCCATGACATAGGGCATGCCTCTAAAGAAGGAATGCACATTATAACATAGCCGAATCTCTTATCGGAATGAAGAAGAAAGTTAGAGATCTTATAAGAATGGGTTCATAATCAAGTGTCAAGGCGTCTTTTGGATTAAAATCCAAAAAATAAAGGAAAAATTTACAAAAATTCTCTTCTCGATACATCCTTATCCACTCTCGGATACATTCCTCCCCTCTCGGATATATCCCTCGAGCTCTCTCTCAAATACATTCCTCCTATTAAGTAATGTATCATTTATAATGTATCTAACAACCAAGTAAAGTATCCAACAACAATGAAAAATCCGAAATTTTGTAGTTGAAAAAACTTTCAAGATAAAACTTAATTAACCCCAAATATATGAAGTTTCTATAAGTTTTCATACGGACCTAAATTCAAAGCGGACAACATCTTAATAGCAAAAGATGAATGATGCCTTATTTGGTAAGTTTACCCATTGAAATGACTCAACTTGCCAACGTTAAAATCAAGAAATGCCACCAACAATATGTATTAAACTAAAATTACAACTAACTCATTAATATAGCAAATGTTTTTCAATTGAAATTATAAGTTGCAGAGACCAAAAGTATGTGATCCATTTAAGAAATGACCAAATGGTAACAAAAATAAGTAAAATTTATCTGTTTAGCTACCTTGAAAAAGTGGTTGAAATTTCTATTGACTACAAAATCATTACCCTCTTTTACTTGTTTTCTCAACAACCCAACAAACATTTTTTTTAAAAAAATCTTTCACTAATAAATTCCTCTAATAATTATTTTTAACTTCTTGTCAAATTCAAACTTTAGTTTTATTATCTCTATTCCCCTACCTTTCCATGAAAATTAGGTGCACAACCTATACTAAGGTTACATTTAAACAATTAAAGAATTATATAGTTTAATTTGTTGTATTATTACCCAATTATATATTATTAACAATACAATGTAGGGAGTCCAGAAGTGTATTTGGACATGAAAATTGTAAAATTTGAAGAAAAATAAATTGTTGGTTGAATATTTGTGAGTGATCTGGAATGCAAATTGTGAAAACTATTTTTATTGTTTTTCGAATTTCAAAGAATTATAGCAATTCTATGTCCAAACAGTTTTTAATATAAAATTTTGAGAAAAAAAAAGTAAAAATCATTCATGGCCAAAACGACGCTTAGTTCCATTGACAGGTTAGTCATGGCTAAAAAACGATCAACCTATTCGACTGAACAACTGATAATGTTACGTAAAAAGGATCGAGGATATAATACGTAGGAGTATTATTGTGTCAAGTGGTATTTAAATGATAGTTTTCTTAGGGGAAAAGAGTCTGAAAAATACTTTAACTTTGACCGAAATTGTTGTTACGATACCAAACTTTATGGAGAACCTTTTACCCCTGCACTATTTAATAGTGTATTTTAAAGGTATATATGTGCCCACGTGGACAAGTTACTATTTATAATTATGCAATATTTATGATGTCCACGTGGGCACATATAGACCTTTAAAATACATTATTAAATAGTGCAGGGGGTAAGAGGTCATTTCCAAAGTTTGGTATCGTTACAGCAATTTCGGTCAAAGTTCGGATATATTTCAAATATTTTTCCCATTTCTTAGAGTAATTAATCTTGAGAAAAATATAAGATTGTAAGTAACCTAATCAAGTTGGTATATATTATTTTGCAGTTAGTGGATCATAGTCAAGTTTATTTGTTGATTAACTTAAACAGCAAGATTAATTACAAGTTTTTCAATATAATTTCCCACTTGCTCCTTTACTTGTGCTTGATTTTTGACAAGGAAAATGGACTGCTGATGCAAGGTGATTTATAAAAAATGCAACTAAAGTTGATTTAATAATTTTAAAATATATTAAGTTGGATATTTAATTGATGAGCTAACTAAGCAAATTACAAATCAATCAATTTGAATGATTAGTGAAAGGAACACTCAACAGTTTGCTTCTCTCAATCTTACCTTATCTTCTTGGTACTGCCAAGTTTAGTACAAATTAAAGTACTAATTTTTCAACCAAATGGCATTAATTTAACAAATATTGTATCAATTTTTTCTCTAGATAGTTTTTAGTAGTACAATTTTTAAGGGGAAATAGTACTATATTTGGAGTCCAATAAAAATAGATACAGTAACAATATATTCAACATAGTTTCATAATTGGAGTTAAGAAATGATTAGTGTTATTTTCGATAGATTCTCAAGTCAAAAGATAAGGTAAAGAGAAATCAGAAACAAGGTTATACATAATCACTAAGAGCAATTTAGATGTAGTTATCCTTTTAATAATTGATATATAATTAACCTTGGACAATGTAGTTTATCGACTTACCTAGAAAAGATAATTTAAAAAAAAAAGAGATTTAACTGAAAGAGATCAACTAATCTAGTTTAAGTTAACTAAAGAAGAAATATGTGTCACTTGGGCTATATTATATCGAGCACATAAATATATATATCATATTAATTTTATGTTGCGACTTACATAACATTTTATTTTTTTCCTTCATTCCTTACATGGTATTTACGTTAAGGTATCATATATTCCATTTCTTCGGAAATTTGCTTGCCTAAAAAATTGTCAATCATCTTTTCAATTGAATGAAAAAATTATTAATACGGGAGAAAAGATTATTCGTTTTTTGTAACTTTACTTTTTCTGTGGACTTATCAAATTAGCCGACTCAGTAACTTTCGAATACAAAAATACATAACAACCAAAAAAGAATTTGACACCCAACCGAGCATGTTGGATAATTTAGTACTGCATTGGAGAAATTTAAGTCTAATCCAAATTTAGCAAAAATAACATAATGATATAAATAAGTTAGGTTCAACTCCAATCCTAATACTAAAAGAACATTAATTATGATTTAAATATTAGGATAAACCTAACTCTAATAGGTAGAGTACTAATTTTAAAGACTTTTTTTGACTTGTCGAACATGTAATTTCCCAACAAACTAGCCTCACCTCAAATTTCTATCTGAATTAAGAAAATAAAATTGAAAGGACAAGTATGTCTTAAATGCATAACTAATTATTAACTTAATTAATCTACATTAGGCACATGTTTAATCTCAAATACATTTCCTTTTCTCTCTTATTTTCCTTTTTTTGGATGATTGAGGAAAAATAATCCTATTTGTGGGAGATAATTGGTAAGCAAATTGAAACCACTCACTATATTTGAGTAAGTGTTTTATTATGTTATTTTTGCTAAAACGGTTTAAATATACTCTAATATGATATTATGGTATTGTTCGTTTTAGAGTTAACTCACATGTTTTTCTTCAAAAGATTAAGTTTCTCTTTTTCTTTTTGCAGCTATCAATGTGAAACTCTTTTCATACACACCTAATAATTTCTCCCTCGGACTGAAGTTCACATTATCCATCAATGTTAATAGATATCTAGATCCAGAATTACTCATTTTGATCTTTGTTAAATTAGGCCACAAGGAAAGAAATTATAATTGAGAAGGCTATTATTGATACATCAATAATTTTGAGATGTTCTTTTCCTTCATGTCCAGTGTTTTCTACATGGCATCAGAGCAATACTTACACCCCTAATGCAATATATACACTCTGCTAATACTAACACAATAATTCTGCTCCTTACGCTAGTCTCCAACAATTACTTGTAAGTTGTAACCATCAAAATTTACTAGCTACTCTTTCGTATATATGCATTTTTATGCTATTGATAAAGATA